GGCTGCTGCTTCGGGGAAAGGGTTCCTCTGAAATCCCAGGGTCTTCGGCTCCCACCTCTACAAACTCTCTTTAACCTGGGCCTCCTGGTTGGGTTTCTGGCTTCTGATCATCTCCTAGCCAGAGGGACGGAGGTAGAGGCTCAATCTACCATTCCTCCAAATACCCACACAGTATTGCAGAACATTCAGCTAGGACGGTGTCTCGGAGAACACCCACCCCAAACCATTTGATGGATGAGGGAACTGGGCCCGGGGCGCTGCCTTGCCCAGGCTCACACAGTGCTGGGTGCCCGCACGGGCTAAGTCAGGCTCCGGGGGCTCTTTCGGCTGCAGCAGACCAGACAGCCACGTCCTTCTTTTGTTTCCTTTTCTTTCTGACTCTTTTTCTTTTTCTTTTCTTTAATCCTCACCGGAGGACATTTTTTTGTTTTTGTTTTTGTTCAGATAGAGTGGAAGGGAGAGAGAGGAAGAGAGAGAGAGAGAGAAACATCGACGTGAAAGGGACACATTGAGTGGCCGCCACCCGCACAACCCAACCAGGGCCGAGACAAACTGCAACCGAGGTACATGCCCTTAGCGGGAACCGAACCCGGGTCTCCCTGGACTGCAGGCTGATGCTCCAGCCGCTGAGCCTAACTGGCCAGGGCCTGACTCTTTCTTTTTATATTAAAATACTTCCTTTTCCCTTTGAAGTGTCCTTTTTGTGACAAGCAGGACAGCTTGTGTGAGGTGGCACCAAGGTGGCATTCAGAGCCAAGACCTCTGTCCCGGTATAGTTTTCTGCAGTCCTTTCAAAGGCTCTTCCCCTCCCTGGCCCCTCGTCCCCAAGGATAATTAGGAACCCAGGCCTCCCTTCTCCCGGAACCAGCACCTTGGGGTCCTGTTTTTCAGATGGGAACCCTGAAGGATCTGGAACCTCTGGCCAATCTCAGATTCCTGTCTCTAAAATGGAGGGGGGGGTGTCTCAGAAGGGGGAATATGGGTATTTGTGTGTGTGCATGTGTGTGTGTGTGTGTGTGTGTGTGTGTGTATGTACCTCATGTGTCTCCCAGCAGCCCCTGGAGGTAAATGTGAAAGGTAATTAGCACCAGGATGAAAGGTGCTATGGGATAATTACAGGTAATATATCAGGACTGCTGGGAGGGTGGGGCAGGAGGCCCCTAGACCTGGGGGGGGGGGAGGCAGCTTCTAGCCCCACTCCTGCACTGAGATCAGACACCTGGAGAGGCAAGGGGGTGGGGGAAGGAGTATTCTGAGTGAAGGGTCTTTGTCTTTACATGGAAATGCTTGTTAGTTGCTAAGGAACTGAGTTATCTCTCCTGATCCAAGCCGCCCAATGTTTTGCTGAGCTTGGGAGGGGGGATGCTAGGCTGGGGCTTGGTCTTTGGTGAGTCTCTTGGGAAGAACTCTCATCTGGGAAAAGTGATTCTTTCCCATTACTGAGCTGGGGAGCAGAGCAGGTAAAGTGGAGGCAGGAAAGGAGAGAAAAACCTGCATTTACGGAGCAGCCTGCAGACCAGGCATTGCGCCTGGGCGCCTTCCGTGTGATCTCATTTAACCGTTGCAACAGATCTTTAAGGAAGGCACTTATTTCCATTTTTACGGATTTTACTATTTTTGCAGTCAAAACACAGATCTAGAACAGGTAAGTTGCCTGAGGTTACAGGGCTATCAAGTGTTAGAGATTCTGTGTGAATTTAGGTATACTAGGTAAGAAAAGTTGTGCTTTTTAAACTACACCACCTGATGCATTTACCAGGCTTTCTTCCTATGCTAGGGTCACTCAGCCCTTATACCTGGGCCCACCACTGCCACCACCACCATCACCACCACCATCAGGACGTCTTCCTGTATGGCTCCCCCTCCTTTTCCACACCTCTTGTTTTCCTAAGAGCAATGATCACGAAGGAGGGAGGGCAGTGGTTCAGTGGGTTGGGATGGTAAACCATTGGGGTAGTTGCCTTGGGCAGGTGGGGTGGGGGGATGGGAATGAGCTTGAGCTCAGCTAGGCCATTGCTGTGAGTGTCCAGGAACTGGCCCTCCGCATAACTCACACTTGGTTGAGAATAGCTGAAGCTGGGGGAAGGGAAGATGCTTGAGGGAGATACCCCTTAAATTCTTCTGGAACTTCCAGCCTTCCCTCTTGGCCCACCTGGCTTCTGCATAAATGAAAGTTCTGCCTTTATTTTATGTAGCCCAGAGAGTAAATTAGAGTACTCGGCCTCTGAGCACCGAGTGAGAAGGCTGGAGTTCACCCCAGGTTTCATCATTACTAGTTACAGAACAGGGAGTAGGCTCTTTACCTTATCAGAATGTCAGTTTCCTCACCTATAAAAGGAGAATAACAACACCTACATTATTCGGTGGTTGTGTCAATGGAATGAGCGCGTGTGAAGACCAGTGGGCTGTGAAGCTGTGCAGGGTGCATTCAGTGAGGTGCTGCGTAGTAGGCACTTGGCACAGTGCCTGGTCTGCAGAAGGTGCTCAACACATGGAACTGATGATGATGATGAGAAAGCATCAGCTCTCCTTATTCCTGAAGAGGGGTCACTAATGTTCCTTTATTATTTCTTAGCTGCTTCATTAGAGATCTCTGAGCAATCTGCATGTTCATATTGTCTCTGCTTGGAGGAGGCAGGGGGAAGGACGAGGGCCCCAGAGCGCTGTGCAGGCAGGGAGCTGAGTCAAGGGTGGGCTTCCCCAAGGTTCCTTGGCTTCCAGGTTTTTTCTCCCTGCCACTGAGACCTCCTTCTCCAGGGCTTTCAGGGACTGTCTGGCTGGGCCGTCTTTAGCCTAGAGCCTGGGACAGCTTTGTTCTTTTACAGGGGGTCTCTCCTATAGCTGAACTAAAAGCCCAAAAAACACCAGGGGAAAAGAAAGGAGGAGGAGAAAAAAGGAAGGAAAGCAAGCCGATAATTTCCTCGAAGGATAAACATCCGATTTTTTTCCCTCACCCAAAATAAACATGCTAGCCACAAGGAATTAAAAGCAGAAGAGGGGAGGATGTGTCTCGATCTGGGACTGCTCTAGGAAGCTGACCTGCTATTTATCCAGGCCTTGGGCCCCAACCGGAGCTGCCAATTACACTCTGGGCCCGTGGGGTGGGGGCTGCGGGGAGTGCGAGGTTCAAATACACCCAGAAAGTTCTTTCCATGACACTGCACATGGATACTTCCTTTTGCTTCTTCTTTTAGCTGTTCTGGCAAGCTTGTCTGGTGGGTAGAAGGGAGTAGGGGGTTTCTACTTGCCTGGGCTGGCATCAAAGGACCTTCTCCAGAACAAGAGCTTGGTGTCTATTACCTAGGCAGGGAGCCGAATTTATCAGTAAAGGGGGAAGCATGGTCCAGTTCCTTCCCCATTCACACATGCAGTCTCCCAGCATAATGTGTTCTTCAGATTTCATCATGAAAATCTTCCAATTACTTAGAAGTGTGCCCAGCTAGGCTGAGGGGTTGGCCAGGGCCCCTCTGCCTCCCAGCTAATGTGGGTCCTGGCTCTAGGAGGGTAATAATGCAGAGCCCAGCTGCAGCCTGCCCCTTTCATCTGGGGATCTCAAGGCACTTTGTACATATGAGTCACCAGCATTGCTGTATTCTAGCCGAGGAGGGGCTGGCCATTAACTCTTGGAGGGAAACTGAGCAGAGATTGGGGGGCTGAGAGGACTGGAGTTGGGAGTGGGGGAGTTGAGGTACCAGGGTTTAGGATGTGAATGAGACCTAGCTAAGAGGTGCCTCCAAGGGATCCTTGGTGGGAAAGCCAAGAGATAGTCAGAGGACATCCAGGGCAGGCAGTGACCGAAAATCCTTTCTTTGCAGAAACCAAGGAGTTTCTTCATAGCTTCCTAAACGCATAAGTCAGATTATGCCCCATCTCTCCTGCTAATCTACTTACCATTTCATGATTTCCCATTGTTTTCAGGGTACAGTCCAAAGATTTACCATGGTTGCAAGGCATGTTCTGGCTTTTGCCCACCTGTCCAGGTGGCCTCAGTACTGGCCTTTCATTCCCTGGAAGATGCCACCACGCCCCTGCTGGCCGTAGGAGCTTGGAGGTATTCCCTCTTTGGCATGCTCTTCACCCCTGTGCCCCACTCACAGTTCATCTCTACCCTGCTTTTCAGCCCTGAAGTTAAACATCACTTCCTCTGGGAGGCCTTGCCCGACCTCCCCCACCATCATAAAGCAAGACCCCTCTGTACCTCAGGGCACTCGTCATATTTGCTGTAATTTGCTTGTGGTCATCTGATGAAACTTTTCCTCCCCTCATGGATGGTAAGTAAGCTCCCTGAAGCAAGACACCTGTTTTGTCTGCCCTGTTCACACATGGGACCCCAGCACTAAGCAGAAGGGCAGGCACATAGTAGGTGCCAACAGTAGTTGTTGAATGAATGGTGCTGAATGTCAGCGCTGGAAAAACCATGGTGATAAACCAGTTGCCCTACCTCTTCTTCCTACCTCAGTTTTACAACCAAGGAAGCAGAACTCTATTTATTTATTTATTTATTTATTTATTTATTTATTTATTTATTTTTTATCCTCACCCGAGGATATTTTTCCATTTTTTGTACAGATAGAGTGGGAGGGAGAGAGAGGAAGGGAGAGAAAGACAGAAACATCGACGTGAAGGGACACATCGAGTGGCTGCCACCCGCACGACCAACCAGGGCCGGGGACAAACTGCAACCGAAGTACATGCCCTTAGCGGGAACTGAACCCGGGTCTCTCTGGACCGCAGGCCGATGCTCTAACCGCTGAGCCAAACTGGCCAGGGCGGAAGCAGAACTTTAGAGAGAGTGAGTGAGTTGCTCCAGGTCACACAGTGCACCTCAGTGATGGTTCAGGGCTGGGGAGCTCCACCTCCTGCCTGTCCGTCTATCCCCGCTATGTACCCCTCCCCACTGCATTTGAAGGTCCCAGTGCTGGACATCAATTAATTTCCTCTCCTTTGTGTTTGAAGGAGGACAGGCTAGAAAACAAAACATGGAACCACTGAGCCCTGGATGATATTTTTATTAATTTGAAGAGAAGGGGTTCCATATCCAGGGGGATTCCATACCCAGACTGTAGGTGGTGGGCAATGTGGGCACACACGCAAGGTGAAGCCTGAGGTCTGGTGGGCAGTTATCTCTGCATGTGTTTCTCTTTGGGCTCATTGGTTCTTGTTCCAGGAGCTTGGAAATTTGGCGAGTCCTGGTAACTTTGGGTCATGAACTGTGTGCTTGCTTCAGGCTCACCCAGGTGGAAGCGACTCAGAAATTTTTCCATTTTCCAAGAGCCTGGAAGGACAAACAGACCACAGGGAGGCAATGAGAGAGAACCACGGACTTGAGAGCTGGCAGGGATGAGAGGGAGGCAGCAGGTGATGACTTTGGCCATTGGGCTGAGTACCTGGGGGTGCCTCTGGCTCCTAGCGGCAGGAAAACCCCTGGATATTAGCAGAGCCCCGAGGAAGGGGCTGCTTCCCCAAAGACAATGGGGACTATGAGTCTGGACTGAGTCAAGAGCAGCCTTTGGTCTCCTTCCCCAGTGCCTTTTATTTAGCATAACTCTGCCTCCTCATTCACATGCAAAAGAAAACGCCCAATCAGGTGGTCTGCACACTTCCTCCACCCACCCCTCTTTTCCTGCATGCTCTCTCAGCCCCATGACTGAGGCCTTAATGCTTCTTTTCTTCACACCTGGTCGTCCCAGCTGCCGGGGCTGTTGGCAGAAGTGCCTGTGCCATTCATTCACTCTCCTTCCCAGAACCCCCACCACTGCCTCAGAGAGCAGGGTTCCTTTCCCAGCTGTGGCAGAGGTCAAGGAGCAGGGGATGTGGCCTGGGTTGCTTCTCCCTTCTCCTGAGCACCTAGATCCTGGAGGGGAGCTGAGTGTGGGTGAGACATCCCTAGGCTGGGGCCTGGAGAAGCCTAGTCACTGCCCAGGTTGGAGAGACCTCCTCAAGGGGAGGAAACACAGGGGCATCAAGGGAGGTGTATCTTCTGGGGCAAGTGTGAACAGGCCTAGTGGCAGGGCAGGGAGGACACAGCCCCGGGCACTGGGGAGAGGCCGAGGAAAGTGGTCAGAGGCATATTCCCACGCTCTTGTTTCCCAAACTTTGGGCCTCAGGCACCCTTGGCAGATAGATGGTTGCCAGATAAAATACAGGACACCCAGTTCAACTGGAATTTCAGATAAACAACAAATAATTTGTTAGTGTATGTTTCACATATTGCATGGAGCATACTTATAATTATTCCTTATTTATCTAAAATTCAAATGGAACTGGGCATCCTGTATTTTCTTTCTCTCTCTCTCTTTATTGATTTTAGAGAGAGTGGAAGGGAGAGGGAGAGAGAGCTAGAAACAGCGATGAGAGACAACATCGATTGGCCACCTCCTGCATGCCCCCCATCGGGGATCGGCCCACAACCTGGGCATGTGTCCTGACTGGGAATCAAACTGGCAACCTCTTGGTGCCTGGGTTGATGCTCAACCACTGAGCCACCCCAGCTGAGCTCTCTTTTCTTTTTAATTCTCACCTGAGGATATACTTTTATTGATTTTAGAGAGAGAGGAAGTGGGGTGGGGGGGAGAGAAACATAGATTGATTGCCTCCTGTACGTGCCTTGACCAGGTATCAAACCAGCAACCTAGGTATGTGCCCTAATGGAGAATCAAACCCACGACCTTTTGGTGTACAGTATGAAGCTCCAACCAACTGAGCCACCCGACTAAAGCTTCTTTTCTCTCTCTCTCTCTCTCTCTCTCTCTCTCTCTCTCTCTCTCTTTTTGCTAAATCTAGCAAACTTCCCTGGATGGAGGGAGCTTGGGGAAGACCTAGTTCAGAGCAGAGCGAGTGGTGGGAATGGCCTGGACCAATGGAGGACAGTAATGCACAGGGAGAGCAGGGTGAGAGGCTGGCATCCTGGAAGTCCTCTCAGAGTCGCCCATTCATCTACCTGTGGTTCTCTGTCTGTACCCACAACCCTTTAGTGTTCTGTACTCCATTTACCACAGATCTCCGCAGGGGCTGTTTACATCTCAAAAATGCTCTCAAGGGGAGGACAATTTTTAATCCAAAGAAACAAAATAATAGTAATGATAATGCAAAAAAACATAATAGCAGTAAAACACTGATATAGTGCTTTCTTTGTGCCAGGCATGGTTCTAGGAACTCTGCATATTCATTCAATTAATCCTCACAAGTGGACTATTTTTTTTTTTTTTTTATGTAAGAGAGTAACATTGATTGGCTGCCTCCTGCACGCCCCCTACTGGGGATCCAGTCCGCATGGGCCCTAACCAGGATTGAACTGGCAACCTTTTTGTGCATGGGAGGATGCCAAGCGACTGAGCCAGAGTGGCCAGGACAAGGGGAGACTACTTTTGTCCCCAGTGCACAGATGGAGTTCTGGTGAGGTTGCTTCTTAGTGGTGATGGGGAAAAGGCCCTCTTCAGGTTCCCTCACATTTCATCAGGCTCAGTGACTGTGCCCGCAGATTGGGCTGCAAGCAGGAACTTCAGGAGTTCTCTTGGGACAAGTGTAGCTGTGCCCTTGAGAGAGTCTCTCCTGTTAGACAGGCTGCTGCTGAACTGAGAGGAGTGTGACTGACGCCGTGGGATCTTCCACTGGGAGGCCTAGCCGTGGCCTCGCCACTCAGGGAGCCTGGTTGCCTGGACAGTACTGCGGTTCATGGCCCTGGGAAAATGTGTGCCTGTGTGGATGCTTATATGTGTGCATCACATGCACATGCATGTTCACGCCAGGGGAAGGGCTCTGGGTGAACTGGTGTGTGGCAGGCATGGGGACAAGGGGGCCTTCCCCACTGACCAGGGCAGGAAGGAACCTGGGTGGCAAGGAGGGAATTGAAACTCATCACGAGATCAGGGCAAGTGGCAGAAAGAAATCCCCTGTGCCCTGAGGGAGACCTCGCTTCCTTCTCCAGCAGTGTGCCCTCCCCTAGCTCAGGTGACTTCTCCTGTTGGAGCTCGGAGGGTCTTGGTGGCCTCACAGCTCCTTCCTCGTCTCATTTCTGACAACCCTGTGGTTCTTGGGCTTCTTGGGCAGCTCCTCAGCCCAGCCTCTCTGTCCCTCAGGAGGCTGCTAGCCTCCTGCTGCCTCCTCCCTGGCTTGGCTGTGACTCCTTACACCCCCGTTTCCTGCCACAAAGGGCAAGAGGAACTGACCCTGTGCAAGTTGTAGAAGGAATAGGGGTGAGTCAGGCCCTCAGGGGTGTGTGGGGAGAGATGGGGAGCTTGGAGGCTGTGGCTTCTGTGCTCACCACAGGGAGGAAAGCCCCCTCCTGCGTGGCACTGCTGGTCCCAGCTGCAGGGAAGCCACTGCCACGCAGGAAGAGCGCTGTCTGAGGCTTGGCCGCTCCCCTCACCCACCCGCCCAGGATGGGCTCTTCCTGACACTGGGCTTGGCTGAGGAGTGCACTTCAAAGACTTCTGGCTGGAGGGAGAAAGAAGCAGGGTGTCTGATGCCCTTCTCCCAAGCCACCCAGTGACCGGAACACAGAGGTCTGGTCTCCTTAGGGTGGGGCTCCCACATATGAGCAGGTGGGTCCCTCCGCAACCCTAGGGAGCACCGACCGTTTCCATCTTAGAAAATCAGACTCAGGCACCCTCTCACCTATTGGTTGGTGCTGACAGGGAAGGTGTTAGAACGAGAGATGTTCGATGTTGGAGATGTTTTGGAAGTGGGCCAAGGAGAGAGTTAGGGAACCTGATCAAAAGCCATCAGGGGCTTCTGAGGCGCCACTGTGTGCCTGATCTCTACCAGACACTGGGGGTGGAGGGGTGAATGACCCGTTTTAACAACTGGTAGAGGGGATTCACGCTGTCAGAGACTCACCTTCTGAGTTGGAGTTCTAGGGGTTACCAAGGCTGGAATGCTTGGAAACGGCCGACAGTCAGTCTCCCTCCAGCTTCCCAGATCTGAGGGGCTTACCACTGGTAGGGAGCGGTCGGTCACATGGGTGGACTGCCATGGCCCGGCAGGGTTACCCAGGCACCCAGGAGACAGAGAAAGTGATGCGACACCTAGTCTAGCAGCCCCTCCCTCGTAGGAGTCGGGAGAATGGTAGACAGCTCCTCTGCTGGAATGTGGAAACTCAGCTAAAGAGAATCTCAGCCCTGGGGTCTGGGCCCTCCAGCACTGACAGCTGCCTCTTGGGGTCTGCCAGGCATGGCAGGGAGCTAATGTATCCAGGCCTATTCTGGCCCTCGAAGACTTTATAAGACAATTAACACTGGACAAATAAGCTAGGCCTTTGAAGGGTAGCCTTGGCCAGCAGCTTACTGTATCCCCCCTCATCCCAGCAGACGAGGTCCGAGCCCTAGCAGCACCCCTGGAGTCTCTCGGCAGGCCCACTCTTAGGACTTCTGAACAGCGTAGGAAAGTGTTCCCTGCATGTCCTTGCTCTAGCCAAGGGACATTCCCCACCCTACCTGTCATTTGGTCCTTAGTAGACACTAAAGTGTCCCCCTCTCAGCCTGGGAAGTGGGGGTTGGGAAGCCCTTACTGGGAGGCAGAGCCTGTAGAACAGGGGCAGGGTACTGTGCCTAGGGCGTCAGCTCCTCCGAGCCACCATATGAGTTGCCCGAACCTCTGCTGGGACCTGGGGTGCCCGGCTTGGAGCTGCCCTGTCACCCCAGGCAGGTGAGCTGTGTCTGACCAAGGGGGCCACCCTCTTCCCTGGCCTGCCCCTGTTCTCCCCCTAGGTAGGGGCACCATTGTTTCTTGTCAGGGGAAAGTACAAAACTTGACCACCAGGCTGATGACTGCCACCCTGAGCGCGGACTCTGCGGTCATTTGTCTGGCTCTTTGCGGGGCTGGCTGCAGGGATAGAAGCGCTGATACCTTTCTGCTGAGATTAATGATGTCCTGGCAGTGGTGGGCGGGAGGCCTAAGCCTTTTATTTTTTTGTGCCATTAAATGACATCCAGAGACTTCCACTCAGGAGCTGAAAAGCCCATGTTCCATCGCATCCAATTACTCCTGGAAGATATTTGCTGAGTGGCTGATCCTGGGGGCTTGGGAGGCTCAGGGCAGAGGGGACCACTGTGACTCTGGTGGGAGTGAGGGGGTGGGGATGTCAGGGGAGTTCCCAGTTGGGGAGGGGCGACCCCCAGCTCCTCTGGAGAGGAAATCCCAGGAGAACTGCAGTTCCCAAGGACAGGGTAAGTGGATCACCCTCCTCTGGTCCTGTGGCTGGGGTGGGGTGGGGTGGGGAAGGGAGTGAGCTGAGGGGAGACTTGAAGCTGTCAGTTTAGCTCCCAGTTATCAATT